GAGGACCAAGGCAGCACGGGGCAGAGACAAGCCACCCCTTCTGGCCCAGTCTGAATTCATAACCCACAGAGGACCAGAATAGGGTATAACAAAAGACCCGAAAGAATCTAGGCAGTTTTGTGACGTGCCTCTCCTAGAAGACAATGTCAGAAACAGACAGTAATAGTCTTCGAACCTCCTAGTTATCTAAGCTGCAGTTCATGTGACTGTAGAACTCAGGTTACATACTTATCACAAAATAATCCTGCTACCGCCATTCCAGGCATCTGGAGACTCTCTTGTGATCTTTGTCCAGGACTCATTTCTATTCAGCTCATTTTCACCTGCATGTGTAACGCTCGGCTGGATTGGACTCCAGAGCACCACAACATGGTATTGAGCTGAAAGGAAGAGATCAGCCTGAGACATTCTAAAAGAAGAATAGCTGTGTACCAAGATAGCTGGGTCCTGCGACATTCTCTGGACGATCACCACAGCTATGCCGTCCCCTCATTACAGTCTTTAAGTGCATATCATTGCTGGTATACCCTCTAACCAGGTCACCCAGACACCAAAGTCTGATGAACCCTTTTAAACTCACAGATACCACCGAAGACCCCAGGCTTTGGTTGGTAGGGGTCTTATGATTTTTTAAAAGTAAATGGTGTGACATGGTCATAAAACCCTTTTTTCTTCCTCCTACCAGTAGCATGTTTTACAAAGTCTTTGCAAAGCTGGTATTCAAGATGCACTGTGTTTGTTGTTATTGTTGTGGCTCCTATCAACCCTGTGTACAGCAGGGTCCTGTGCCATCCTCATATTGTTATGCAGGAGCCCACTGTTGCAGCCAGCCTCAGTCAATTCATCTTATGCAGTCTTCTCCTCCTCTTCTTCCTTTTTTTTTGATGTGGGGACCTTCTACTTAACCAGTATGATGTACTAAATAAAACATACTCTTGAAGCAATTAATTTTGATTATAAAACATTTCAGCTTTTAACCTGTATTCATTAACATTTAAATTCTCAACTACTGAGAGATAAATGATATACCATATATACTTGATTATAAACTGACCCAAATATCAGCCAAGGCACCTAATGTGCTGAAAAACTTGGCTCATACACAAGTATATACGGTATCTTGACATAGTTCAGTTTTAAAATCCGTTTTTCTTTAATGATCTACCGACACCACAGATGGCAATGCACGTTTCAGGGTCAAATTAGGAAAAATATGACTGTTTTTCTCCTCCATTATGATGTGATTCACAACAAAGTTAAGATTAGGCCAGTCATAAGTCAACCTGTGTAAACTCTATTGAATCCTAAGCAAAGGGCAATTCATTTTGAGCAGAAGTGATTAAGAACCTCAGAGAATTTAGCCATACTGTAGATGAACACACAGCCAGAGAAAGAAGTAGGATTGTAAAGGGGTTGAATATCCCGAAAAATCGGTTCAGTTATACAACAATTTCTTTGGTTCGAAGGTAACAGGCAAGGCCACACTTTGTTGTGGTTAGGTGCTGTTGAGTTAGGGTCTTATTTACAATGACACTGTGTAGAACACAAGAGGACACCGCCCGGCATCAGTCTCACAATTGTTACTATGTGTGAACCCCTTTCCACCACTCAGTTGGAAGCCAATCCCGCATGGAAGATACAGCCCTTTGATAATGTGATTCTCTCTTTTACTAAGCATGTCCTTTTCCAGGGGCTGGTCTTTCCTGATAGCATGTTCCGAGTGTGCGAGACTAAGTCTCCCATCCTTGAGTCCAGGGAGCATCTGGCTGTACAAGACAGATTGGTGTGTTCTTCTAGCAAACCACATTATAATCCATATCCACCAACCCCCTAACTCAAAGGATTCACTTGTTCATACAAAACAAAACCCACTGTCAAAGAGTTGATTCCAGCACATACTGATCCTAAATGTTTAAGTCTTTAGGGGAGTGGATGGTCTTATCTTTTTCCTGTGGGACAGCTGGTGGGTTTGAATTTCTGATCTTGCAGTTAGCAGTCTAATGCGCAGGGATTCCTTATTCATTGGTAGGCATTGAGATGCATAGGAGGGGATAGAAAATACCATGACTCGGGTAGGCATACAGTACTCTAAGTGACTTTTTTTTTTTTAACACTTTAAAGAGGTCTTTTGCAGCAGATATGCCCAATGCAATATGACATTTGATTTCTTGACTGCTGTTTCCATGGATGTTTATTGTGGATCCAAGTAAAATGTTATTCTTGACAGCTTCAATCTTTTCTCTGTTTATTATTTTTATTTATTGGTTCAGTTGAGAGGATTTTTGTTTTCTTGACATTGAGTTGACATCCAAACTCAAAGTTTTGATGTTCATCTGTCAGTGCTTCAAGTTCTCTTTGTCTTCAGCAAGCAAGGTTGTCCCATCTATTTATTGTAGAGTCTTCCACCCATCCTGATGCCACATGCTCCTCAGTCCTCGGGTTACTTGCACAGGGAAAAGATTGATAAATAAGTACAGGAGAACCCCGGTACTTGACCGCATCAGTACTCGACGTAATGGCATTTCGATGTGAAATGTCGAGAAAACTTTGTATCTGAGCTCGAACAAAACATCAGAATCAGGACCAGGCACACGTGATTTTTGTCAACAAAAGCAGTTCACATTTCGGCCACTAGGCGTTAGTTGGCGCTGTTAGTAGGCATTGTGAGTCCGCGTTTAAACCTTTTGCGGTTGTGTTCCTAGCGTTTTGCTATAATAGTCTTAGTTTGTGCGTGTGTGTGTGTATGTGTGTGGCTTTTTGTACTGCTTTTAGATAAAAAAACATGGGTCTTAAGAAAAAGTTTCATGAAAATAATCATCATGATAAAGAACTGGTTAACCATGTTTTGATGATAATTTAGTAAACCCTTTTAGAAAACAGTTAAAGAAATGCCAACAGCAGACCACATTAGACAGATTTTTTTTTCTTTTAGAGAAAGCCAGTCAGGTCCTAGTGAAAACAGTCAAGGAAGAGACAAAACTCCTGAAAAGAAGTTGATTTGATGGAAGGGGAATTCCCTTCCAAACAACCACTCTCTCTCCATCCCTCCTCTCCACATCCGTATCCACAGTTCCAGATCCTCCTCAATCTCAAGGTATGGGCCATACTGCTGTTGTTAAAAACGTTTCTTTCCTCTAGTTCCTAAATGCTTCCTCCTCTCCACATCCGTATCCACAGTTCCAGATCCTCCTCAATCTCAAGGTATGGGCCATACTGCTGTTGTTAAAAAACTTTCTTTCCTCTAGTTCCTAAATGCTTTCTCCTCCCCCACTATCATGATCCCAATCCTACCTTACAAATATGGCTAGACCAGAGGATGTACACTGGAAACAGGGAATCCAGGGCGGATGATCCCTTCAGGACCAGTGGTGTGAGTGGCGATACTGGGAGGGTAGAGAGAGGGTGGGGTGGAAAGGGGGAACCGATTACAAGGATCTACATGTGACCTCCCTGGGGGACGGACAACAGAAAAGTGGGTGAAGGGAGACGTCGGACAGGGCAAGATATGACAAAATAATAATTTATAAATTATCAAGGGCTCATGAGGGAGGGGGGAGCGAGGAGGGAGGGGAATAAATGAGGACCTGATGCTGGGAGCTTAAGTGGAGAGGAAATGTTTTGAGAATGACGAGGGCAATGAATGTACAAATGTGCTTTACACAATTGATGTATGTATGGATTGTGATAAGAGTCGTATGAGCTCCTAATAAAGCGATTAAAAACAAAACAAAAACAATACTTAAAAATACTTTTCTAATGTTGTGGTTTTTTATTTAAATTATATTATTTAACTCTGAACTTATTTACTTTGAAATTTATGTGTAATGTTTTGTATAAAAAAGCAAGGCTAGGGTAAAAACTTGGTGGCCGAAAATCGATGAATCCATTTCCAGTTATTTTTTTATGGGAAAAATGGATTCGGAACTCGACTGCATCATGTTTAGACACTCCTTCTAGACCGGATTAGTGTCGAGGGCCGGGTTCTACTGAATGGTGAAAGGATACAGATGAATATTAAACTCTGTAGTACCCTTATGTTCCATTTTACGGGCTGCCTCTTGGTCTATGTGCAGGTTCTATAGGAAAATAATTAAATGTTCTGGAATTCTCATTCTTCAAACTTTTATCCACAATTTATTGTGATTCACACAAACTAGTGACTTTGCATAGTTGAAATGTTGGTAAACATCTTCCTGGCTCTCTCTTCTTTCAGCCAAGACCCATCTGATATCAGCAACAAAGTTGATAAATATCCCTCTTTCCACACCCCCTTCTGAATCATGCTTGAAATTCTGGCAGTTCTCTGTTACTAAGCTGCCACAGCTAGTTTTGAATTACCGTCAGCACACTTTTATTTGTATGTGGTATTAGTGATTTGTATAACTTCTGCTTTCTGTTGGGTCACCTTTCTTTGAAATGGGCACAATATGGATTTCTTATGGTTTGTTGGCCAGATAGCCATCTCTTCCATTTCGTGGGTGAGTGAACAGGGCCAGTGGTGCATCCTTTTGTTGACGTAGCTCAGCTGGTAGTCCATCAATTCAGGAGCCTTGTGTTTCCCAATGCCTTGAGCGCAGCTTTGATGTCTTCTCTGAGGGTCATTGGTTCCTGAAAAGGTGAGACATCAGTCCATTCTTTTTGGTAGTGGATCTGCATTCTTTCCATCTTCTTTTGATACTCCTTGTATGGTTCAGTAGTTTGCACATATAATCCTCAATTTGAGGCTTGACCTTTACCTACAATTCTTTCAACTTGAGCAATGCTGCAGCGCAATATTATGCTTGGTAATTTTGGTGCATGTATCAAAATCTGTGCCAGAGTCTAAAACACTTAGGAAAGAAATTATGATACTGATAGGTGTCTGAACTGGGATTTGGTCATAGAAGTCCTCAAAGCTCCCAAGAAACAAAAGAACTTTCACTTTTGAACAAAAGGAAGCAGAAGTTATGGGATTTGGTGAGACTGGCTAAAGTAATAGTCAAAGAACTAGGAACTCATACCTGTGAGGTAGGTGTTGTGTGAGGAGTTAATGAAATAGTGAGAAAGGGGCTGAGACATATCTTCATTCAAATCCAGTTTCTCAGGTGAAACAACTCCATTTTCTTCCCCGCTCAGGTAGCGCATGAACCCATCCACGGATATCTGTCCTGTAGGAAATGAAGAGATAAGCATGTGAATTGATTGATTGATTGATTTGTTTGGTGACTACCATGTTGTTATAATTTCATTATAGGAAACTCTAAGCATCCAAAGCTAGGGGATAGCAGCCACAGGTGTGTTTTAATCTGCATTAAACAGTAGTTTAGGATTCTGCCATTTCACTACAGTTAGCCTGAAATGCCACACACAATAGTGAAGTATGTAATTTTAAGCCCCATTGACTTTTGAAGGATTTAATAGCTAAACATCACACCCTTGTAACTAAATATAAGAATCATGAACAACTTCATAGATGACCAATGAAAAACTCAGCTCCGTTGCCACTACTCCTAGGTCTACTCCAAATCATGGTTATCCTAAGAGTATTAGAGCAGAACTGGGTTTCACAGCATTACCAATGGCTACGTTACTTCACAAGCACATCACATGGCATTTCCTCCACAGTGCCTTTGGGCAGATTTGAACTTCTAACCATTAGCTGGCAGCCAAATGCCACCCAGGGACTCCTTATAAATGGACATCAAAATGCCATTACTTTTTATTCATATTGACCCCATGTAACAGGGAGAACTACCCTGTAGTGTTTTCTGGGCTCTGATGTTAATGAAAGCAGGTCACCAGGTCTTTAGCTAACATTAATGGTGAGTAGATTCAAACCATCAACCTTTTAGGTTAGCAACCCATGGCTTGTCTATTGAGCCACTCTGGGTGATAGGAGTAAGGGTGATTTTTATTCTTTTGTATTCTTTGTAGATTAGCAAAATATCTATTATGAATATGTGTTTCTTGTATAATCAGAAAAGTTATTCCCAAGTGCTTTAAGTATTCCAATGCAAACATTTACCCCAAACTAAAGATGAGAAGGCAAGGGGGGAAGGGAAGCTAGAGCCTGCGAACAGAATATAATGGAAATAATGAGAATGTAGACACAGTAAACACTTTAACCAGTGGCAGGGGCTAATTTGTATTAAAATATTGTTAAGTGGGAACCTAATTTGCTGGGTATATTTTTCACTTAAAACACTGTAAAAAGTAAATATTTTGAATTCATATTTTGAATGGCTTTACTTCAAATGAAAAAAACACCATTCAAATTGTGTTTAGTTTGCTCAGATTTTACTTAGAAGTTTTTCTTTTGCTTATGTTTTCTGAGGAGATCTGTGTTACATTTTGAGAGTATGCATACGTTTATCATAGCAATGATCATGCATTATACATAGTGAGCCACCCTAACTGGATCCTCCTACTCTGGGTCAGCCCCAAACCCATTCATTCGACCTTAACCATCACAGTAACCAACGGATAGCACAGTGTGTGTATTACAGACGCAAAACACTCACTGCCTTCAAGTCTTTTCAGACTGTAGTGACCGAGAGGGCAGGGTGGAAATGCCTCGGGGGTGGGTGGGGGTTCTGAAACTAATTCTTTAAGGGAGTAGAAAACCCCTTTTTCTCCCGAGCTGCTGGTGGTTTTAAACTGGTGACCCTGCAGTTAGAAGTCTAAGGACTAGCCCATGATTAATTTTCTAAAGTCAGCATGTCTTTTTTGTGTGTGAGATTAGTTTCTGTAATAAATGCAGTTCATGCTCACAGAAGAAAAATTAGAAAATGAGCTAGCAGAGTGGAAAAATAAAACAAAAAGTTCAGAACATAAAACCCACCCACTGCTGTGGAGTCCATGCTAACAGGGAGTGACTCTGTAAGGCAAACTGGGAAAAAAAAAGAATCCATTTTAATTCCTTTTTTCCATGAACTTTTGAAAGCTCCCTCATATACGAAGCCCTGGCTGCATAGTGGTTGTATATTGGGCTACTAACCATAAAGTGAGCGATTCAAAACTGCAGCTGCTCCATAAAGTGAGCGGTTTGAAACCGCAGCTGCTCCTTGGGAGAGCCACGTTGAGTTGGCATCAACTCAAGAGCAGTGAGTTTTATATAGTTCACGCACATTTGGATGAGTTAGTAACTTTGTGTTTTTTTTTATACCAATTGGACTGAAATAACTTACTGTATTGGGCAAATTTTTATGTAAAATAGGTTAAATGCCAATAAAATATTTAACTAGAATATGCCTTTCTTTGACAGTTTTATTGGACTACAGTTCACCTGCAATTCAATGGTTAAATCCTATTAAAAAGATTTGGACACTCATCACCACAATCAACGTCAGAACACTTTCTTCTTTCCCGTCCTCATTGTTAGTAGCTCCTCATTTCCCCCACCTCACTTGTCATGCCGCACACAAACCATTCCTATGGCTTCTCCTCTCCTGGAGTTCAATACCTGACGCCTGCCTTTCAATGACCAGGAAGTACACCAGTGTCAGTGGATATTAGAGTTGTGTCTGAATGTTCACTAGTATAAATAGAATCGCACTCAACACTTTGGTAGTTAAATCTTTGCATGCATCTTTAATGATCTCCTTAGGATAAAGTCTCAGAAATAGAATTGCTTGTTTAAAGACCACACATATTTTTAAGACTTTTAATTAATGAACCTCACCGATTTACTTTCTGTTGAAGTTCTAGCCATTGATTGCTTCACCAGTGGCGGATTAAAGAACTTGTTTTCCTTCCTTTCACTAAATCAATTTTTAATGATTTGAACATTAGTTGCTTTTGAATGGCAATAGGTAGGTTCTGTTCAAATGGTAAAGTGAACATTACTGTTTACCACTATAAAAATTCATATAAATAAAAACTTCTAACTCACTGCTATAGAGTCAATTCCAGTTCAAAACAACCCGATGGGACAAAGTATAACTGCCCTTGTGGGTTTCTGAGACTACATTTTTATGAGAGTAGAAAGCCTCTTCTTCCTCCCTCAGAGTAGTGGTGGCTTCAAACTGCTGACGTTATGGCTAGCAACACAATACATATCCTACTACTCTATGAGCGTTCCTCTGGTTATCATAGCTCACATGTTTTCATATCCAAGAAGCACCTTAAAATGTTTGACGACATTTCCCAAACTCTAAAAACGTTATACATCAAGCTGCACCAATATTTTCCAGAAGAAAAATAACAATAGAAACATTTGGTTATTTGCTTTATGATGATATATATTTATGCTCATATCTATGTACATATATTAATAAATACATGTTATTGGATGCTGGATAATCAGTTCCGACTCACAGAAACCCTACATGTGAGAAGGAAGTACTACCTGGTCCCCCACCATCCCCACCATTACTGACATGTGAGACCATTGTTGTAGTCACTTTAAATAGGTCATAAGTAATATGAATGGTTTATAAGTAATATGAATTATTTAAAAATCAACTTTAACCTCTATGATTTCAATAATATTTTTAAAGTCCTGTGAAAACATCTTGCATAAAAAGAAAGAAATGGCATAAATGCCCTCATATTGATGGATTTTAGTAGATATTATAGTTCGTACTTCCGAATACCTATCATGTTAAGAGTGATCCTCCAATCATGCTGCTATGGATGAGCACGCTTGGTAAGTGCTTCTGAAGGCCTCTTTTTGAAATTCCTTTAGGTGAAATATATATCTCCTTTGAGACTGATTTCAATCTTGGAAACAAACCAAATTCAATGTCACTCAGAGGCAAAGCTATTTAAATCAATGGGTTTAAAGGATACTTTGGAGTATAAAACTCAAAGATAAAATTTATTTAAATAAATCTAAATTCTTTATTGTTTTATTTCATTCTTTCTGTGAAACGTCCATCTTATCAGGTACTTTTCAGGCCAGAGTCTCCATTCTTTCTTCCTACCATTTCTCTTTGTCTTCTTCCTTCATTCTTTCCCTCCTTCCTTCTTTTTCTAGACTCTATTCATTTCCGATGTGTCAGACAGCTGCCCTATGCTGAAGCATGAAGCCCATTGCTTTGAGTTGATTCTGACTTGGAGTGAACTCATGTGGGTCAGAGTGGAGCTATGCCCTAGTCCAGTGGTTCTCAACCTTCCTAATGCTGGAGCCCTTTAATACAGCTCCTCATGTGGTGGTGACCCCCAACCCTAAAATGATGTTCATTGCTACTTCATAACTGTAATTTGGCTAATGTTATGAATCCTAATGTAAATATCTGCTATGCAGGATGTATTTTCATTGTTATGAATTGAACATAATTAACGCATGCTGATTAATCACAAAACAATATATAATTACATATTGTGAAATATTTATGTGTTTTCCGATGGTCGTAGGCAACCCCTGTAAAAAGGGTCATTCGACCCCCAAAGGGGTCACGACCGATAGGTTGAGAACCACTGCTCTATAGTGTTTTCAATGGACGCCTTTTTGGAAAGGGATCTCCAGTTCTTTCTTTGGAGGCAGTTCGACTCAAATTTCTAGCCTTTTGGTTAATAGATCAGCAGTGAAGCATTTTAACCATTTGAATCACCCAAGGACTCTATCATGGGTTGATCACCTACCTTAAAAAATACCCTCACAGTGTAATAGACTAAAGGACCACACCGTAAATATCAGAGTGCAGTTAAGCCCCTTTAATCTCTGGTGTCTGCCATGACATGTTGTTGCACAGTGGATGTTCAGTCAACACTCCTTTTGACAACTGTAATAATTCAAACTGCAAAATATATTGTTTTGAAAATAAACAGTTACCAATGGGAGAAAGGCAGGGTTTTCTGCTCCCGCAAAGAGTTCTAGTGTTGGAAACTCACAGGGGCAGTTCGACCTTGTCGAACTGCCTTATAGCGCCTCCATGAGTCAGTATTGATTTCATTGCAATCAGTTTGAGTGTTTGGAAGGATAACATAATTTTGTTTGGGGCTGTTGTTTTGCTAAAGTCAGATCATATGAAATTGCCAACACTTGACTTTTTTAGATATATGCGAATGGTATTTGCATACAATTCAATCTATAAAGAAAGCTATCCCTTATCACTGCTTTCAGGGATCAGGAAAAGAAACTAATCAGATGGTTGGAATGGGTGTATATATCTGAGAATTGTGGGATATGTGGAAACCTGGCAAGTGCTTGCGCCTCCTAAAGATA